TATGTACATACTAGGGATGTTAATCTCGGGATAACGGCCTTTTTAGGGGCCCAAAAACCCGTCCCGTCCGTTTGCCAAGAATTCCGGGATTTTTGGAATTTGTAATTTGCAATGGTGGCAATAATAGAAACGCCTTGTGTTGGCCAGTTTTTGCTTTCTACACCCAGAAAAAAGTCAGCTAAAAATATTTCTCTGAACACATGATTTGGTAACTATAACCAAATAATGTAACTATAACCAAATAATGTAACTATAACCAAATCATGTGTTGAGAGAAATATATTTAGCTGACTTTTTTCTGGGTGTAGCTAATTACACATACACAGAACACCGTGCGATAGACAATTTTACACACACAAAAAATCAATATATTCGCGAAGCCAAGGTCCCTATACAGTATCGGTCATATCTATAGCACGCCATTTCAAAGTGATATTGTGTTCCACTTATGTTTATTTATTTATTTTTAAGAATTTTCAATTAAAATACAGTTCTTTATCTAACAAAACCCATATAAACCCAAGTTTAAAAACTTATAGAAAACTACAAAAAAGTGCAACAAATTTTCACCTAAATTTCAAACTTTTTTCTCGGAAGTGTTTGAATTTTTCTGAATACACAGTTTTATAGCCCAATCAATTTTAGTCTGATAATGTGCAAGTTTCAAGTGGCTAAAAGTTACCGCTGATTTTTTAGAATTTTTTTCGCCAAGGATGTTGCGGTTTTCTTCCATATACAAATAAATTGAGTTTATTCATTATATGGAAGCCAATGCGACAAAAAAAATTCTAAAAAATTAACGGTAATTCGTAGCTACTTGAAATTTGCACATTATCAGACTAAAATTGCAGGGGCTAAAAAACTGTGTCCTCAAAAAAATTCTATCACTACCGAGAAAAAAGTTTGAAATTTAGGTGAAAATTTGTTACACTTTTTTGTAGTTTTCTACAAATTGTTGAACTTGGGTATATATGGGGTTTGTCCGAAAATGAACAATATTTTAATTGAAAATTCTTAAAAATATATAAATAAACATAAGTGGCACACAATATCACTTTGAAATGGCGTGCTATAGATATGACCTATACTGTATATGCAGTAAAATTGCGTTTTTAGTTTTTCTCTCTGTCGTCAGGATTTTTTTAAATGACTTCGAAAATTGAATAATATGAGTAATTCAGATGATGGTGGTAAAAAATCTAGTGCAATGTACTTAGGAAAACAGTATGGGTATCAAATTAATGCGAAAATTTTGCAGAGAAAGAACAGATTAAATTTTTTGGTGCATAAGGTGTTCAAAATGTCCTTAAAAAGTTTATCCTTGAATATCGTTGAAATTTTGCAATATTTATTTTGAAAAAATTATATGTTAAAGACTAATATAAACTCGACAACGTCCTCGAATATAGTTCTGCTAACTGTATTAGCTTAAAAAAGTAAAATTGATCAAGAGGGCATTCTCAATACCTATTCGTCCTTGTGAACCCAAAAACTTTTAATTTTTTTAAATCCTACGGTATTTTCTCTTTCATTTGGTACCCATTTTATTCTACATTGCACTGACTTTCTAAATAGTTTTTAGAGTTTATCATATCTTTGAAATTATAAAGTTCTAATAAAAAAAAAATCTAAAACTAAAAACGCAGTTTTACTATATTTGGCCCATAGTGTCGTGAGTATGTATATTGATTGCTTGGTGTGTTTTGAAATTTTTTTGTTTCAACTTGTTTCAGTCTTTTTACTCAGAATTTTTAGAAAAAATCTAGGTACGCAATTTTATAAGTATAGCCCATTAAATTAAAGGAGGATAAAGTACAAAATTCAAGTGACTAAAAGTAACGTTGATTTCTTATAATTTTTTTTGCTGGCGATGTCACGCATTTTTTTTCCATACAAAGTATGTTCGACAATTTGTTTATATGGAAGAAAATTCCCAGCTTTTTTTAAAAAATTCCCAAAAATCAACGGTATTTTGTAACTGCATGAAACTATAATTTTATCGTACTTTAATTTAATGGGCTATAAAACCGCGTACCTCAAATTTTTCTAAAAATGCTGAGTAAAAAGTTTCACATTTTGGCAAATTTTTTTGCAACTTAATAATTTTTGTACAAATTTCGAAATGCGCATGTAATTAGATATATGTAGAATGAGGTGGACTTTTATAAAAAAAAAATTTAAATATTATATAAACAAAATAAATATAGACTAAAATGGTTAAAATAAGGCGTTTTTTTTATTTCTGCTACTATTTAGTATTATGAACTTATTTCAGCCACACAACACATATGTTGACTTAAGTTTTTTTTGCACCGAGCTTTTTTCGACATACCTTAGGTTACTTTATCAGATATGTACACGCTTAAGTATTGTTAAATGCGTATAAATTTAACTACTGTCTTTTGTTTTGTAACTAATGAAATATTTTTCAACTTAAATAAATAATAAAGTAGGTTTCAAACCCATTTATTTATTAAATACTTATTATATGGTAGGACAGCTTCTCAAACCATATTGATGCAATTTTTACATGTTAAGTGGTTGAAAAATAATGAATATCTATATCCCGGAACTAATCCCGATGTCCCGAAAATCCCGGGAACGCAAAAATCGAAAAAATTAGCATCCGTAGCACATACATCTATGTACGTATGTACATGTGTTTACCTTTCCCACGATCATCAGTGCCCCTACCATAAAAAAATTTAATGATCCATAAAAGCTAACTGTTGATTAGCGTCATTACTGCAAAATGGCATTTTGCCGCACCAATGTGTCACTTCATTCAATTGAATTGCCATATTTATCAGCAGAGAAAAAAATAATGATTGATGGCTTGCAATGTTCTGCATATAAACATTGCATTGAGTGTGCCCATCCATTTGCAACGGTCGTTGAAAATATTTATTGCGAATCGCTTATATGCAAAAATACAGCCGTAAATGTGAGTAATATTCGTATAAGCAAAATCAGCTCCAAAGTACATAGAGGCTTATATAAATGTACAAAATTCTAATGCAAATATGCATAAAAGTGATCTTTGAATTGTTGGCGAATCAATTAAATAGTTTTCTGTTTGTCAATTAAATTAAACGATATGCTGAGTACATTTTATTTGTAAACGATTTTATTGAATACCTTTTTGCATAAGAGTTTTTAACAATAAAGACATTCATTTTATATGCTATGTATGTTAAAGTACTGATTGGTTTAAAACACATTGAGGCCTTATAAATTCTTGACGAATGCTAAAAAACTTCTTCCTTTGAAACGTAACCTACTAAGTGATGTTATCGCGTCGAATAAATGTCAAGTGAAGGCAAGTCCTTCTCAGTGCTGGACACCCTTCTAAAATGTCTCGATAGTCAGGTGAACTATTGCCTACAATGTCCTGTAAGGATTCCTATAACATTTCTTAAGTTATTCATGGACAAGATCATACATTCCTAAAGGCGCTTTGGACTGCTCTAGACCTGGTAGATTATCCCAGTAGCGGTTTGAGCCTTTTCATCTAACCAGACCAGGGCACAGAGTGTCCCTTTTCTAATACCACAAAAACGCTTAGGGGCTGAAGAGTTCAAGCTTTTTTATTCGCAAGTTTATCGGTAAATTTCTTCTCCTGTAATACCAATATGTCCTGTAATCCAGAGAACCCAAATGGTCAGTCGAAGAGTAATCAGCTTATCAGCATCACCAGTTTCGATGATACCTGATGAGATCTGAGGACTTGCCTGTCACTTAAAATCCCGATGTTTTAATTTCGGTACTTGCGCTTGATATTAAATACCGCGCATCTCCCTTTGGCGTATGTTTCAGCATGGAAAATGGACATATGTTTTCCCATGGATCCCGAGTATATTAGCCTCGGTCCCCTCCCTACACCTGCGCGGTAGCCTCTTTAGTCAATGAGCCATCAGTCTACCTGTTTATCATGTTTTGGTTTATCCGATATGTCTCGGATATCTCAGATATGCCTGCCCAGTTTTTCTTATTACTCACATCAGTTTTCAACCTCTTCGTAAAGCTGAACCTCATATGCATGATATCTCTCAGTATTTCAGAATACTTCCTCGCCAGAATATCCAACTTCCTCCGACTAAGGATCCCGATATTGGTACCAGTTATCCTTAGTAAAACTCTTTTCACCTGAGTGTATGTACTATGTGAATATGAATGGGGGTAACATCTAAAGGAACTTCCAATAATTCGGTTGGACAAGTTCTCTTGGCTCCCGTTATGCCTTTGTACATTACACCCCTTTTAGAGTTAAACTATACTTGTACGGTATAAAGAATTGTATATCATTAGAAGGTATTGTGAAGCCCTAGTGCACATGTATGTATGTACATATGTAGATAAAGAAAAGAATGAAGATAAAGATCAGGATATAGGTGGAGGAAACGATAGAGCTAAAAATAAAATGAAAAGGTAAATACAAAGATAAACATAATGATAAAAAAAAAACGATAGAGACAAGGATAGAGATGGAGAAAATAATAAAAATAAAGATAGGGACAAAAAAAGACAAAACTGAAGATTGAGATATGTTATGGTATGCTATGTTATGTTGTGTTATGTTATGTTATGTTTTATTATGCTATGTTGGGTAATGTTATGTTATGTTATGTTACGTCATGTTGTGCTTTTTTATGTTACGTCGTTATGTTTTTTTATGTTATGATATGTTATGTTGTTCAATGCATTTCACTTCAACTTACCACAGTTCAATTCAAATCACCTAAACTCCCCTCATCTCACCTCAACCAACCTCACATTACTCTGAGTTCACCTCAATTCATCTTAACACACCTCATTCAAGATCACCCAATTTCATATCAAGCCAATTAACCTCACCTTACTTCAAGTTAGCTCAACTCACCTCAGCTAAACTCACCCTAACTCACTTTAAGTTATCTAAACTCACCTCACCTGAGCTCAATTTACTTCACCTTAACTCAACTCAAATCCCTTAACTCTCCTCAATTCCCTTAATTTTACAGGTTGAATTTCAACCGCTGGGCGAACACTACTAATGTTTGTACCATCTAACCTTGTGGTTGTTGTTGGATTTACATTCATCCCCACTTTGGCACACCATTTTTCGGTTACATTCAGCCCTAGCTGGATTCTTTCACTCAAGGTGTTTTCGAAAATGTCCTACATTATTATTAGTACAGGTTTGTATTTCTACCCTTCTGGTGCGGAGCTTGCAGTTTATCACCCCCTGCTAATCAAATCACTGATTATTGCAGCGTGTGAGGCGTTATCAAACGCGCCCTCTATGGCCAGAAAAGCGCTTGTAGCAGTGTCCTTATCTTCTAACCTATCCTGAAGTGCACTTGTCAGTGGGTATAGGGCGGCTTCAGTGGATAGTTCAATAAGACAGTAGTCCTTGCATATTTAACTATTAACTTATCTAAAGCTTTTAGTATAATTGCAGTTAGGCAGATTGGCCTAAAGGATTTTGGATGCAGTGCGTCCTTCTTTCCGACCTTCGGGATGAAAACAACCTTCGCTCTTCTCCACGCATTTGGTATATAACTCAGTGCTATGCTACTTCTAACTATTTTTAGTGGCGGTCCAATGACGAATTCTATTTGCATAAACATACATACATATTACGTCGGCAAATCGAATCTAATAATAATTTACATCTTGTTCATTTCAAATTGAAGCTGCAAAAATAGTTATAGTATAAAAACCAGATTTTGCCAAGATTTATTATAAACACAAGTGGATGAGCACCCAACTGAGAGCGCCTCAATGTACATACATATGTATTTGTATAAACGAGTGAGCTAGCGCTGCAATATAAAACACATTTATCAACATAATCAAGCAAATTACAATCATAACTTGATTTATCCGGTAATTTTCGTGTGCACCCAATGAACGCAACTGCGCCAAGCATTGACATTTTGCAACTCAGATATACAAACATGCATCTTTCTGTATGTATTTAGATACATCGGTTTGAGACTGATGGATGGCTTGGTGTA